TGCTGCCCCGCCCTCTTCCTCTCCTCTCCTCCGGGATTGGCTGGCACCCTATGGCCAGGATCGGCTGGCACCCTACTGCCTCGGCCTTCGGGCTCCATCGACACTGAGGAGGTAGTGCTTTAGACTGCCCCTCCCGCCTCCCCTCCACGCCAGTTTTACTTGGTGCTACTCTCACTTCTGCCATCCTCGCAGAAGCTCTGCAATTCTTTCCTGGCTCTGGTGTCACTACAGGCGCCATCCAACATTTTCCACCACCAGGCTCCTCACGGCTGGGGTCTACCCCCTCCCTCCTGGGCAGTATCGGCTGCCCCCCTCCATCAAAGGTTGCTGGCATTTCTCGCCTGCCTTCCTCCCTCCACGCTTGCGGCCCGCCCCCGGCCGAACGACCGGTTGGCCTACCGTGGTATTACACTATCTCCTGGGTTGAGCTGGCCGGCCCTGTCATGGCATTTCGCCAAGGTCCTATCGTGGGCCTGACAGCGGACATATTCGTTCGCAGACGCCTTTAGAGGCATTTGGGCGTTTCCTATTCTATTCTTCTCTTTGTCGAGATGACGCTGAAGGGTTTTTCTTCTCTCTCCTGCCTTCCCTGTAGGGGACGATCGTTCCTTTGCGGGGCAGGATGTGCAGTTAGGCCCATACCAGAGGGTCTTGGGGGGGTTGTTTTGGTCCCTGGGGTGCGGAGGAATGCGTCTGAAATTAAGGTTTTGTTTTTGCCATAGCTAGCGCTCCATGCAGGTTCTTGTACCTTAACAACGAATATATCAGACAAACAAAAAAAAAAAAATCCTTAGCTTTCACAATCATCAGCGAACGGAGAAGAGATCTTATCAATATATTCGTTATACTTTGATACCTACTATTGTTACGAGCTTTCTTGACCACTCTCCGAGAAACCTTATTGGCCCCAGTTACAATTCGTCTGACTTAGAGTTGGCTGCCGCCTAACACCTGGGCTCACTTGGATGCTCCTTAGTTGGACCTTAGTTGGTTATGCTCCTCGCAGGTAGACTCCGGCTTGATGTCGGAAACCCTCTTTGAACCTCGCTCCTCGGCCGCATACCGATTAGACAGATTAACCTTTGATAACCAGGCCCCTTGCCTAGACCTCCAGTAGGACACTGGATGATTACCGTGGCTCGCTTGGATGCTCCTTAGTTGGACCTTAGTTGGTTATGCTCCTCGCAGGTGGACTCCGGCTTGATGTCGGAAACCCTCCTTGAACCTCACTCCTTAGCCGCATACCAATTAGATGGAGAAACCTTGGATACTGGGGCCTTTACTGTATAGACCTCGGAGGTGGGAACCTGTCCTGACGCTTAGACCTGGGGGTGGAATACCTGTCTCTTGCATAGACCTCAGTGGGATACTGGCCCCCTGGGACCTTGCTCTTCGGCCGCACATCAATAAGTGGATTCACCATAGATACCAAGGTTCCTCCTGTTTAGACCTCCGGTGGGAAACCGGAACCCTTATGCCCAGACCCTCAGTACGATGCCGTACCTGTTAATATCTCCGGAGCCTGCTCGTGGCGTGCCTGGGACTACCTGCCCGGACCCTGTCCGTTACACTGAGGCAAGTGGCGTATTCTCCCAAAAATCTCCTTCGCAGCTATCAGACTCCCGAAATAGTTTCAGCGCAAACAATCTTGTGTACCATAAGAGGTTCGGTTGCGCATGGACTCCTCTGTATATAAGAAGATACTGGTATTCCAGATGGGACGTTCCTGGTATCAGGAGATGGATCTGCTAAAAGGGCCTGAACTTACTGCGAATTCAGATAGGGTTTGTAGACTTCTACTATTATCGAAAAAGGCCTACTGAAGATATTTGGATAAGTGGAAAGATGCTCTTAGAGGGTGAAGTGGATCAGTCACACAGTTGATGCCCCCTTGTCCACTGGAATAACCCTATGGCAGCAACCTACCAGTATTGAAATTGAAGGAATGGTATCAGGATTGGAGTTGGGGGGGCAACAGCTAGCATGTGGCAGAGCTTATCCGCCATGAGTGACCGCTGTGCAATACTGATCCATATTACTGCTGCTATTCTAGGTCTCAATTTATTCTCTCCCTGCACCTTTATCAGTCTTATTTTTGAACCATAAGCATCTCCCAAACCTGAGTCCTATGTTATTTTGCTAAGCTCCTCCCATCTCCAAAGGATTCCCAATTCTTCCAAGATTGCTTCAGTGTTTAGAGAACTTGAAACTTGTAGAAATCTAGGCATATGCCACATATCTACTAAGGGAAAATCAAGGGAAAATGTGCCATGTAAATTCCAGTACCATCGTCCCTTTGTATCATACATTTCCAACATATCTTCGGAGCCTCCTCCAGCATGTCTATAATAATATGGTAAATACTGTATAGGATCTAAAGTGCTGCACTCAAGGAAAACTCAAGAGAAAATAAATAGAGTAAAAAAGCAGATATTAAAACTCATGCTGACCAGGTGTCCCTGTACTCATGCTCTACTCCATTGATCACACTTGTTATGCCTAATCATGCGATCTGATTGTTGTATTGAACCGCCAAGATGGTACAGTAGATTTTCCACCCAAGTAGTCCTTTAGATGGCTTGTCTGTTATTGAAAGTCTACTCTATTCGTATTACTCTACTACTAATTTTAAGGATTATGGCGTGCAGGGATGTTACACAAAATCTAAGCCAGTATCACAGACCCTAATATTAAAGATTTTTACTACTTGCTATCATTGATACAGTGTCCTGTCAGGGCAAGTCAGGCCCAGAATTTATCTTGTTGTAATGACAACATTTATATCAGCACAAGGCCGGGATGACGAAAAAAGGGATGAAAAGACCCTCATGTATTGCTTGCAGTGCCCAGCCAGCGTGGTGAAGATATAATTGTTTTTTTCCCAGCAGAGTACAGTTTTTGCAGGGATAAGAGTAGTTTGGGTTGGGGAGACATCGCAACAAATGGGCAAACAACTTGGAGTGTCGGGGATAGAACCATGGCTTTTTTGAGTGAATGCAGTGCGTTAGAGTATGTGATACCTGTCCCACGAGCTTCCCCCATTGCCTGCCCGGTCACTAAGAACAAACTAAGGAAGATGATTTCTCAAAATTGCATTCCTTTTATTTCAGTAGTAGGGCGTCCCGGGTGGGGTAGCTTGGGTGTTTATATAAAAACTAAGGATTGCGATTCCCCTTTCATCTCATAATTCGTGATATACCCAGCACTGGGGTTTGGGAGAAGGTTTTCGCCATATATCACTCGATATTTGATTTCGCGTGACTGCTCCAAGTCGCGGTGGAATAAGAGGCAAAAGTGCCCGGGAACAAGTGATACAAGTGACGGTGGACCAACTGGGGACCGCAAAGGATTCACCTAGGGTCTTGGCTTTTCCTGCACAGCGAAATAGATTATGCAAACTTCATGAACTGAATCGCTAACTTGGCGAAGCTAGATTCACAGATTAACTTTGGGTTTACGTGTGATACAGGCTTAGGGCGAATACAGGATCTACGAGAGCCATTATGGCCGCATGACCCGATTTTGCAGCCGGGCCAGACGGTTGAGGAGCTCTCCCGAGAGGCTCTGCAGTGAGAGGTCAAGAAGGAGCTCCATCATTTTCCATCCCCAAAGACCCCTGCGGAGGCCTTATATGCACGGGTTGCCCAGTGGACCGCGCATCCCGAAGGGGTAGGGGTGGAAGAAGAAGGAAGAGATGAGGACTTCTGCACCGGCGGTTCTCCTTGTCTCTTTCGGACACACCCCTCTCACTGAAGTCGGTCGGTTCGCGGCGTCTCACACCCGACTTCTGCCATCGGTAAGGGACCGGACAGAGTCTCTGATGGCGGAGGCCGCCATCTTGCATATAGTGAACTCGACGCATAGGGCTCTCGGCGGTCCACACTTCCAATTCTCGCCCATCTACTCGAAGAAGCGGAATATGTGCGAGCTGACTGTTCCCTTGAATCCGACTAACATTCCAATGTCGGGTATCGATGCCGACGTGTTTTTCACTGGGGTGATGCTGGGGCTGTACGCGCAGTGCTTGAGTTCGTTGACCGAGCTGCGGAAACGGTTGGGCGGGTGCTCGGCCGGGATGGGGGGGAGCAGGGTGTTAAGAATGTGCTTGATGTGGGGGGTAGGGGCACTCGGGTACTTTCTTGGCAGAGTATTGTCGAAGCGGAAGAGGAGAGAAGGAAGGATGAGCTTCCGGAGAGAACAGGGAAGCCGCCACCTGGCCCGGGTGGGAAGGCTCTCCCGGCGGTGAGGGAGAGGAGTGGATTATGGGCAGTGGTCGTCGAGGCTCTTGGACGATACTCTTTTTATTCCTCGAGTACCGGATATCTATTTCGAAAACCTATACTACATGCCGGGCGCCCCGGTGGAGAAGAATAAGGCTTAGCCGAGAAAACCCTACGATCTGATCATTGCTACAAACAGAATCCTCCCGATAGGGAAATCCTTTTTCCGCCGCCAAACCATTGAACATCTCTACTCGCACCTAAATCCGAATGGCCAACTCCTTTCGATCAGGGAAATGGGCGCCGATGGGCTTCAGGACCGTCGCCTACGCCCGCGCCACCATCCTAGAGGACTGCATCAAGGACGCTGGCTAAGCTTTTCAATCCCCCCCCTGACCAAGAATGCCGGTGGCTTTGCCAACCCCCCTATCGAAAAGGACCCCAGCGCTGTAATCGCCTCGTGCACGAACCAAGAACAATGCCCATGCTACCCTCTGGCCCCACAGGCGGCACTAACCGCAAACACTACTGCCGCTTCTCGCAGCGCTATGAGCACCTCGGCTATCTGCAGAGACTCATGCATGAGTCATCTAAAAAAAAAAAAGGACACGAAGATCTCAAGTACTCATATGTCGCCTTCCGTCGTGGCATCGACTACCGCGCCGACACGAAGAACAAGATTAATCTAACAGTAGACGACTTTGGAATAACCCCCTTCGACGGCGAACCCGACATGCCAATTCAGAGTTCGTATATAATGTAACAACTTGGCAATTACAGTTTGACCCTCCCGCGCATCATACTCCCACCTACCAAACGTGACTCGCACATTATACTCGACTTAGGCACTCTGATGGGCTACATCAAATACTGGGCTGTTCCCAAGAGCCTCAGGAAATTGGGGTGTAGAGACGCGAGGAATAGCGGGTGGGGTGATCTCTGGGCGCTTGGAGCGAAAGCTCGCATAAGCCGAAACATAAAGATCTGTGGTGGCAGCGGGAGAAGGCAATGGCGGGGAAGGGGACCAGGGAGATGCTCGAAGAAACGATTAGGATGCGTAGAGATAGGAGGGGAATGATGCAGCCGGGGGTGCAAACACGGAAAAAGGGTAGGAGGCGACAAGAGGCGGGGGGGTGCAATCGCAATTTTGCACTCGCAATGTGACCATATTTTCATATCCGGAGCGTGGGCCGCCGGTGGGTGGGGTGTATATATGGGGCTTCTCACTTTTTGTAAATTATTTGCCTAGCTCCAAAAAGCGTTATCCGCGGCAACTATTGGTGGTATTATTCGAAAAGGTCAAGTAATCGTTGATGGAAAGGTACCACCACCCCACCATTCCCGAATCCTCTAACCTCTTCCATCACCCACCCAGCAGTTGTGAGAACGGGGGGAGGTATGCCGATGCGTTGGTGGTGCTGGTACTCTGGGGTAGTGCGCGGGCAAGTGCTGTAGACGGTGGGGCCGGCTGGAGATGGTGGCTTTGGCAATCTTCCGCTAGGGGTTGGAACGTTGTCGTGGGGTTCTCTCCTTTGGAGTGTTCTATAATATTATTAAATTTAACCGGCTTTCCATATATTCCTGCGTTTGGTCGACATGAGCCCGCTGTCATCCACCAAGCTGGAGCCGGCCCAGGGTCTTTGCGATGCGTGGCTTGGAATATAGGTGTTTATCGAGTGATTTTTTGTGATCTTGATGAATATAGTTATCAACTCAAGGAAGGGGTGGCGCCGGTAGTGGATACTGTCCCCTCCCATAGGGCATCCGAATCCATTGCTGAATGAACCCGATGAATGGAGGACTATCCGTCTGCTTCCGAACGCTTTCCCCGGCCTCAAATGTTATTCTGGGCAGTAGGAATGGTCCCCTGTAATTTTTGTCTACCTGCTCTAGTGCCTCTAATACCAAGGTTCGGATCTCGTCTATAATTTCTGTTGGGCTCTAACTTACGGGATTGCCTTTGGGCTCTGGGGAACGTACTGGGATTCCGGGGGTGAACAAGAGTAGAGCAGCAGTCCTGCGAGGGGGGGTGTGCAGCTCAGCCCCCACGAATAGTGGCTAAGTTGGGTTTAGTAGGTGAGAAGTCAATGTTTTTCACTCGCAACGTGGTGTAGAATACAACTACACCACGAAACCTTGTTTATACATGGGCCTCGTGCGGTGATTTGGGCTGGGCAGAGCCTGTTCTGTATCGTGATAGCCAGAATACCGGACCCCGAACACAGTCTACAAGCACCCCGAGAACCTGCTCTGCCCCATCCCGCCCAACAGATATAGTAGCCTTGCGTATCACACATGTAGATGGGCCAAGAATGGACTTAAAGGGTTTAACGCGAATATTCCAAACCCATTCACCAGCCCTTATGACTCTGCGCAAACAGCACACCCAGAAATTCCGCTTCACCCAGCCCTTTGTGGGAATTAACTCTGGGGTATTTGGAAGATTCACCCCCCGAAAAAGCAAAAATAAAGCTTATTGGTTTTGTTGGGCTCCAATGTTTCAAGCTTGGCTCGGGACGTGATTCGCGAACGGAAAACGGACATATGGAGGTACAACTCCCAAGTTTTGTGGTCTACATTTTGCCGGCAACGGGTGCTGGGCTACCACTGGTATAGGCTGCAAATTGGGCAATTTCTAGTGAAAGTTACCCAATCCGTGCTGAAATTTACGCGATTTGCGTTAGGAACCCCCGGGCAGCCGAACACATCTGGGTTGTAGGACATACAAAACTCGAGAGCTGCACCTCCGTCCAGGCTAAATTAGGTAAACAAAGCTGGGCTTGGACTAGGAATTTGTTTCTCTTTAGTCCTCGTACCCTCTGAGTACTCGTAGAGACCAGCCAGCAAAACTTTGATACCATAGCGGCCCATGGGCGCTATTGGTGAGAGTATTCCAGAAGCATGGGGAATCCTAAAGTAATGGAGCTGCTGTATGCTAATTTTTATGGCCCATCCCGCACGAGTGCTGAAAAGAGCAAATATGCACTAGGTCAAAATCACGAAAGAAAAGGAAGGAAGGACTTTGATAGCAACATTTGAGAAGGGAAAGGGGACAGGTATCGAGCCAAGTAGAGAAACGGAATAACAGAGCGATCCTTCCTCTGTGTTCAACTTACAATCTCTCCGATTCCAAATACTGTAGTCCTTCTGCTTCACAAAAATCGTCCGAAAAGGCTTCACACTCGTTGTTGACAACTCGGTGTTGGTTGGTTTTTTTTTCGTAATCTCGCTCGTACCCTACATGTAGAAGAGTCGCTGGAAAAAGGTAGGAGACCTCTAAGGGCCTGTTTGGTAAAAAAGGAAGAAGTGGCAACCATTCCGTTGCGAAATGGGTTGACTGGTAGAAAAGGTTGTTGCTAATGGTCTACCATTGAAACGGAAAGGTTGATAACGGGTGTGCCAAACGGCCTTTTGGCAACAGCCTTTTCTAAAAGGAAGGAAATGGTCATTTGTATGGGCTAATGGAACGGAACCATTTCATCCAAACAGGCCCTTAGCAATATGTACTAGTAAATAAAAATATAGAGGTGAGTTCAGAGGTTGGAAGAACATAATACCCTGCTACTGACTCTAGACGCTTCCCCTATCATTGTGGGTCCCTTCCTTCGCTCTCATTTGTCTCCTTTGAGATCTCCTCGTCAACATGACATCCCTTTTTGAATTTTAGGAATGCTTCTTGCTCATCCTGCCAATGGTTCATCACCAATCTGGGTCTCATCTCCAAAGGCCGGCACATGCATACATGATCACTCTGTTATACCCCATGAAACCACATATAAGAAAACGCTGCACGCTGCCCCTAAACCTAACATACTTATCCCGGGGGGGCTGCGCAAGATGGGTTTCAGAATAAGATTTTACTGGTTTCGGCATTCTGCTATTTATGTTAGTTTTCAAGTCGGATAGAAAGTTTGTGGTATTATATCCAAAAGGGTCTGGCCAGAGCATGGTGTCAAAGTAAGAAATCTGGCTAAGGGAAGAGGTATCAGAGGTCCCACCACTCTCGGAGGCATGAGGGACCGAGGACAAAGCAGTGTGGTTGGAGCTCCGAGCTAAAGGGTCAGTCTCCATCTCACCTCATATGCGATTATCAAACATTCTACTTGAGTTGTGACTGTTTATAAGTTGTGGCCTTTTATATCATTACTTCTGTAGTCAAAAAAAAAGCAATCAAAAAAAGCAAGCATCAGCGATCAGAAGCCCCTTAGTGCCACTATTCCACCTGCCATTACATGGTCCTCCCCTATCCGCTGCTTCCCACCTATCTCAATGCCATCTACAAGTGATGTATCCTCCTCCCTCTGTGCCTTTAGCTGCTGAACAAATCATGCTTGAGTTCAATCTTAAGCTATTGATACGGGGGGTTAGCTTACTACCTATGGCACACCACTCCAGACATTCTCAGAATAATCCAGGAGAGCTTGTACACTTAAGACAATGTCCCCCTCGCTTGGCCCTGCTGGACTAAGAAATATTTTGGCAAAAGAGAGCCTCAAAGGAGCTCCAGTAATAGTACCTCCGTCGATGTTGATTTCATTGACTTTTTCGGACTAGTCTGGAGGATATTAGGGTTGTTTCGTGTAATATAGGGATTCGGTATGGTGAGGTCTTCCCACTGCTCTAGATGTATTTTCCACTGGGGTTTGTTGACAGAGATGAGAAGGACGATCTTGACATCGTGGGTGGAGTTTGCTAGCCACCAGTTTGAATTAGTTCTCAAACGTCGAAGCGACTCTGGAACCCCGCATTCGAAGACCACGGTTGGCCCAGTGTTCCCAACCGTCCAGGGTGCCCTACAGGGCCCTGGCAGGCATGTAGTTCCCGGCATCCCAGGCAGGGTGGGTAAGGACGCCATGGCATAGCGTCCGTCTTTGATCAAGACTGCCATCTGAGGGGTTGACGCCCGGGCCCGGGAGTCTTAATACAAATGGCATCTTCCGGCCGTCATCTACAGGGCCCGACTGTCATCTATAGGGCCCGGCCATCACTCGCAGGGCCCAACCGTCATCTGTAGGGCCCGGCTCTCATCTGCAGGGCCATTCGCAGGTGAGACACCTATGGGGCCTGGCCAGCCGTCCTGGGAAGTGCTTAGGATGGACTACAGGACGGGCATCCGTCCAGGGCGGAGTTCCAGAAACCAGTGTCCGTCCCATCTGAAGCTGAGAACAGACGGACTGGACGCTAGGGAACACTGGGTTGGCCAGTCTGTTTCGAGAGGACAAAGAGCGGTAGGTCAAATTGCTGAATCCTCTTTGTTTTGAGATACTGCTCCTGGACAGGTTGTACCTCCCATATCGCGAACAGCCCGGGGCAGCCCCATCACTCTTATTTTTTCCCTCACCTGGTCTACAAGCTCGCGGATTGCTGTTTCGTAAATTGGGCCAGGCATGATTTTGACAATCAAGGTCTCTGCGACGTTTAGGTAGAGGAAGCGGAGAGATTTGTGGCTGCTGTCGCGGCTGCACTTGAGCTTCGCAAGCTTAGCTTGCGTAACTGGGGAAAATACAGCATACTGCCCAGCACTCAAGTTGCCCAAGCATAATTCATCTGCCTGCATCTGAATTTGTCGAGTGAAGGAGTAGGCACTGCGATAGTACTAGCGTTCCACCCCTTCTAGCCCTTTGTTGAGGTAATAATCCATGCTGAGCGGTATGTTTGGCACAGGTGTTTGGGAGACAAATGGGGTGGCGGAGATATTGAGTAGGTGAGTGGGATTGTCAGCTATTGTTTCCCATGGTCGGTGGTTAGTCCTTCAGGAATCAGCAGCACCTGGGTGGTATTATATTTGTATCGATGGTCTTTTAAAGGTTCTGAGCAATAGGGCCAGGGCAATGAGAGAAGGTCAGGGAATTTCAGGGAATTTCAGGCGTTGCTTGGCGGCTTATCACCTTAGCATATGCAGTATTTGTGTGAGTATAACATCACCCACGACTTTCGGCACATCTACTAGTGCCAAGGTTGTGGCTGTACCACAACCCACCACTGGCTCGCAACCATGGGTATGATACTCTTTATAGAGTGCCCGACAGCTCAACGGTCTTTGACAGCTCAACGGTCCTCGAGTCTCACCATAGAAACCTCATCAAGCTATTGTATATTAGCATAATACTTCTAATCATTCAGTAGGGCAGCCTAGTTCCTATATCTAAATTAACTCTATCTTTACCAGACTACAGAATTGACAGACTTGAATTTAGCTTAATAGCTAACATACAAGACATTGAGTTTAGCATATTCATGTTATCTGCATATATTTTTTTTGTTACTTTGGTAGGTATCAATAGAGTGATTGAGTATTTACTAACAAATACAAGCAGATGTTTATACAGTTGTATTATAATATGCCAGTGTGTAACTATTGTTGAATTTTCTAATTCATTTCATATGTATATTCTCCGTAATAATATCATATATTCCTCTACTTAGTATTATTTCTAGACTATAAACATTATGATTACTACAGCTGGAGTATGTATTACGTATATTTCATTTGATATTTCATGATATGATTAGGGGATTATGGTGTGCTTTTCTTATCTGGTGTTCGGCTTTATTTCTTACATTTTATGCATCATTATACACAGTCATCAGTCATTTGATTTACAATTATATTCTAATTATCCATTCATACCACCTCAGATTTACACATGTTTTATAGAATTTCCTTGACAGTTCTTTAGGGTCAAACATGTTTGCACTTATATTTTTCCTACTTATGTTACAGTCAAACACATCGACACTTATGTTTTCCCTTATATTTCCTCTTAGTTACACGAAGGATATGTACCTGTATAAATAGGAGTTACCACCCATCTCACTTAAGAGAATTAAGGACAAGAACTACCACCAATCTACCTTCATAGAGAACTCCTCCTCGCTTAGCATGCCTGCAATACACTCTTTCTATCACATCGTATTTTCATACATAGTTATTGAGATAGTGCCATACCTATACATTTGAACAACTATGAGATTATACAATAGCCTAATCACAAATAATGTTTGACACCAAAGTTTCTATAGCAATACAGTTTTTCTGAAAACAGAGTTTCTATGGCAACACCCAAAGACCATTGAGTTGTCAAAGACCATTGAGTTGTCAAAGACCATTGAGCTGTCTGGCACTCTCTTCAGAGTGCCTACAGTTGCAAGCCAGAGAGTAGTCGTGGGTCGTGGTATAGCCACACCCGGGCCCTTGGCACAAGTACTGGTACCCAGTTACTGTGGAGGGAAATATTTGTGGAAGTTTTCAAGTTTTTCTCTTTACTTTTTTCTCTTTACTTCAGAATGCCTTAAATGAGGTATCCTGTACCGGTTTGTTTGCTTAGGATTTCATGGTATTTGGGGCTGTTGCAGGAGACTAGATTTATTATCTAAGCAAAGGCTGCAGGCGTGTTTGTAAGGCCTGTTTGGATGAAATGGTTCCATTCTGTTAGCCTATACAAATGACCATTTTCTTCCTTTTAGAAAAGGCTCAGGCTGTTGCCAAAAGGCTGTTTGACATACCCATTATCAACCTTTTCATTTCATGGTTGACCATTAGCAACTTGAATAACCTTTTCTACCAGTCAACCCAATTCACAATGCAATGGTTGCCACTTCTTCCTTTTTTCCTAAACAGGTCCTAATATTTTGCTGCAGGGACCTGCTGTCATGGTACCTCAACTAGAATCATTCGTGATTGTTTGAGGTGGTTCTAAGCAGTTTAGCTCCCACGCTGATTTGCTAAGTTAGGTTCAGTAGGTGAGAGGTCGCTGTTTTCCACCCTGAGAGTGGTGTATAATCAACTATACTAGGAAATCTGATTACTACTTCTGTTTTACTCTTTGTAGTATATAAAGCACAAGCATAAAGTATCTGAAGATCATGCTCACTGGCAGTTACTATTACAACCCCAGTCTTTGATTTTATACCTTGTCACACAAACCCCAGTCTGAGTTTTCAACCAATCACAACTACCACACTTGAATTTAATTTTCTTCTTTTTGTAAAGTAAAGATGTCTAGCAGGGGCCATGTCTATGGTTTGGTTTACAAGAACCAATGGTAGAAATTACATGTAGAGGAGTTGAAGAGGTGAGTTGTGGCTTTGAAGAAGTATCTGGCCACAAAGGGAGAGCAGGTGAGGACCTGCGTTAAAAAGGTAGAATCATTTACCCCAAAGAGGATCTTCAAGTTAATACCTGTAGATTTACCGCCTAAGATGTCTCTGTCGAGCAAGAGGGCCTGGAAGATGATGGGGAAGATGGCTATGGAGGATGGTAAGAGGAGGAAGATGGGCAACTGGTTTGACCCTGAAGGATCAAGAGGTACTGGGTCAGTTGTTATGGTGAAGGTTTGCAAGGTGCCTTGGGACAGGGGCATCCAGTTGGTATTGGACAAGTTGGAAAGAATGGAAAATGTGATTTGTGAGGGATCACATTTGTTGGTGAATGAGGAAGAGGTGGAATGCAGGAAAAAGGCAGGTAAGATATCTTGTACAGTGGTGGCTATGGTAAGGGGCGTGAGATTGGTACAGTCATCGTTTTGGACTGGGATATAGGTGAAGGGTCAGTGGTACTTGGTATAGTGGTTTACTAGTTCATGTTTCAGGCCAGTACGGAAGGAAAATAGTTGGGCTAGGATGTGAAACGAGGTGCAGATGGTTGGGAAGGATACCTTGTCTTGATAGATAAGGTTGACTGGCCGTTTGGGGAAGGTGGAGGAGTTGTTGAAGGATAGGGTAGATGCAGTCATGGTCGAAGTGGGTCAGGCAGAGGATGAGAAGAAGGGGATACGGGTGGATGACTCATCAGAGTCTTCTGATAGATAGGAGTATGGTTCTGGCTGTCTTTACTAAGTACCTCAGATGTTGCAATGGGGGACGCCTTAGGGTTCAGGAACTAATTCAAAAAGTATGGGTATGTTCAATTCCCTGATCCTGCATAGTTGTTTTTGATATTTTCTAGCAACACTGTTTCAAATATGATATC